CGTAAGACGAAGACTCCCTGTGTAAGTGTAGGAGGCAGCCTGGGTCAACCCAAGGGAGGGGTCAAATACATCATCAGTCTCGAATCCCTCCGTGCCCACAAAGGATTTACGTCCAGCCCACCGTGAATTCCTTATCCACCGCCAATTGGCTTTGACTGTTAGTAGTTCAGGTTCTTGCAGAGTGCATAGTTTGCCACCAATCCTTATATTCATTTGAACTGCCTGGGTTTCCCGATTGTCTGTGCTTGACAATAAGTTAATGAATGAATACGGGGCTTGCAAATTTTGGCGAAGCCAATTATTCTGGCTTGGACAGCAGGGGGCACAGCTCAACAAGCAGACCCAGAGTGAGTTTTATTCCTGTCTCGGGCGCCAAGCCAGCTGGGTGTTTTGGACCAGTACCCTTGTCTCAGTCCTAGGAAGGAAGTAGCAAGGGCAAACCAATTCTAAAAGTCTTGCCAAAAAAAAAACCTGCAGGAACTCATCCAATCTCCAGGTACATACACACACATGAAATCGGGGCAGGAAGCAAAAAAGAGACACCTGTTTTTGAAAAAGGGGTTAAGTTAGAGATGGGAAAAGTTGAAAAATGCTGCTTAGAAAGCCCAGCAAGTGGTTTGAGGTGTATATCAATTAAGAAACCAACAATTGCCAGTTTGCTGCAAAGTTTCGTATGGAATAGCATCTTCCTTGGATTAATTGTTGGGAAGGAACATTAACTGACAAGTACGAGATGCTCCATCATTCACACAAACACACACAGATTCAAAGACAGGAATTATTATTATTATTATTTGCATTTCTGCAGGAGCGATGTGGAAAAATAAAACTGGCATCAATGTTCAGTTTCCTCTGGATCCCTTTAAAAATTCAGGCACACCTCAGGTTTCTAGTCCTCATGGCTATAAAAAAATGCAGGAGAGATTTGCTGGGTTCCCAGAGCATTAATCCATATCGGCAGTTAAGGGGGAGGAGGGTCTCCTCTTCATCTTCCCAATGGCCACATCAGCAAAAGAAATTATGCAAAAGAGCTCCTCAACCACCTGAATCAATTATGCAAAATCAGAGCCGATCTGCATATGTACATGATTTATGCAAGCTGACAGATTCAGCAACCGCTTGGCACAGTTTTAGAGGCGCCCTAAGGCCTCGTCATCAAAGTAGGAAATCAAAAAAGAGAGAGAGAGAGAGAGAGAAGTTATGAGTTATCACCCATGCAATCCAGGACGCAAATCCAGCAAAACTTTTCGGGCAGCCAAACTAGCTTGAAGCAAAATATTTCATCCACCCATTTCACAGAAGATTACTGAGGTTTGTGAGAAAGCCAAGGGCCAGGATCTGACAATTGCATGGCCCTATCCCAATTTTCCTTGCTCTTCTTACATCCCCTGGATTCAGAAATCCTAGAAGAAGCAGTGATCAAACCCAGTTCAGCCCACCATTCAAGTTTGGGCCAGCAATCGTGGGCAGATCTCTCTTTCATCTTAGTTTAGCTGAATGGCCGGATGATGGGAGCCAGGAAATGATGCTTTGGTTAGGGAGGAATTGGTCAGCTAAAACCCAAGCAGACACATTCACACAACAGGCCAGCATGGTTTAAACTCGGTTAGTTTCTGTAGTTTAGAATGGCGGGTTGTTTCATCGTTCAGTTGGGCTGTATCAACACAGAACACGGGTTAGTTCAGTGGCTGTATATAACTATTTATCTATCCATCATCTGTTCATCTATACATCATGTATATCGGTCCATCATCTATATCTGTCTATCAATCTATCCATCCCTCTTTCTGTCTTCCATCCATCCATCAGTCTATCTGCCCATCTATCTGTCCATTTATCCATCTACCCTAACCCATCTACATATCTAGCCAGCTACCCATCTACCTACCTACCTACCTACTTACCTATCTATCCATCCATCCACCCATCCACCCATCTATCTATCCATCTCTCTACTCATCTATCTATCTATCTATCTATCTATCTATCTATCTATCTATCTATCTATCTATCTATCTATCTATCATCTACTTACCTACCTACCTACCTACCTATCTATCCATCTACCTACCTACCTATCCACCCACCCACCTCTCTCCCTCTCCCTCTCTCTCTCCTCTCTCTCTCTCTCTCTCTCTCTCTCTCTCTCTCTCTCTCTCTCTCACACACACACACACACACACACACACATATCTATCTATCTCATTGGGCCCAGTGGTTAGAATACAGTACTGCAGTCTAACTCTGCTCACATTGCCAGCAGTTTGATTCCTTCAATCCTGACCAGCTCAAGGTTGACACAGACTTCCATCCTTCCGAGATCAGTAAAATGAGGGGCCCCAATTGTTGAGGGCCAGATGTTGACTCTATAAACCGCTTAAGAGAGGGCTATAAAACAGTGTGAAGCGGTATACAAGTCTAAGTGCTATTGCTTTCCATCCATCCATCCATTTATCTGTCCATCCATCTATCTGTCTGTCCATCTACCAATCTTTCATCCACCCATCCTTCCATCGATCTTCCAGGGTTTCCCCAGGGCTTCAAAATGAAAGGATTAATCGTCGCAAGCCACAGCCTTGGCAAATGGCTTTCTTTCTCTCTTCCCCCTCCCAGGGCTGCCTTCCTTTGAAGAAAACCATGTCTTGGCCCCATTTTGTTTCTTTCCTTGGTCGACTGAATCTCCCCTAACCCGTTTTGCTTTGAGATGGACTGGGGTGAGGAAACTCCCCGTGGTTAAGATGGGTGGCCCCATGGATTTTAGAAATCGATCAATTAAGATGCTTTCTCCCCACTTCACTTAACAGCCACCTGGTCAACGTTACTCACATCCGGGAGTCAAAGGCAGAATATTCTAGAAAACCCCCAGAAAACAAGATGTCTCCTCAAACACCCTCAGGTTCGGTGGAAAGAATAAATAAGCTGCTCACACCTGAAGACAATTAAGGCTGCTTTGTTTTTCAAGACCCCTCCCCAAAAGCTCAGGTGTTGTTTGTCAGTAATTATCTCTTCTTAAAGGTTCTGTCAACCCATAAAACATTTTGTATACACGTTTTATAGTTGACAACAGAAAGAGGAGCGGAGTTTCAAAGAGCAGACGGCAGTGTGGAATCGAAAGTACATTCCATTCATATTTTCTTCAAAGACTGATTAGATGACTGAAGCTTCTGCCGAGCAAAAATCTAACTGGAGAACATGATTGATGACTCTTGGCTATGGACGTGTCCCATTGGAGAATATGAATTATGATACACCCAGGGGGTGGGGGGAAACCAGGGTCAAGGGTGATAATGAATGATGTGTCTCAGAGTCAGCTGTGCCCAGGCTAATGCCGGCATGTTACCTTCAAATAAATCTTTTTTTAGTTTGGGGAGTGTGGCTCGAGGCTCATGATTTAATTGGAGTAACTGCCGGAATCCTGACAGGTTCCTATTCAAGAAAATGGCTTTACTCTTGTGTAAAAGACCCCTCATGAGGTGCTTCTAATTCTCATCCCACACCTCCCACACCCTAAAATAATTAGAATCTGACACCATGACACCATGACTAGTCACAGCCCAGGCAAACCTCAGTTAAAAACAGGTTGAGTACAGACAGTCCTCAACTTAATGATGGTTCGTTTAGTGACCATTTGAAGTTTCAAGGGGGCTTATTTTTCACACTTAGGACCATTCCAGCAGCCTCTGGGGATGGGGTGGGGGGTGGAGGAGGAGGGAGGGAGGGAGGAAGATGGATGGATGGAAAAATGGATGAGGAAGGAAGGATGGAAGGAAGGATGGAAGGAAGGAAGGAAGGAAGGAAGGAAGGAAGGATGGATGGAAGGCAGGCAGGCAGGCAGGCAGGCAGGCAGGCAGGAAGGAAGGAAGGCAGGAAGGAAGGAAGGAAGGAAGGAAGGAAGGAAGGCACTCAACAATATTCCCAAGAGTTGGGAGGGAGGAGGAGGAAGGGGGGAGGAAGAGAAGGAGGGAGGGAGCAAGGGAGGAAGATGAATGGATGGATGGAAAGATGGATGAGGAAAGGAGGAAGGAAGGAAGGCACTCAATAATAGTCCCAAGAGTTGGGGAGGAGGAGGAGGAGAGGAGGAGGAAGAAGAAACATCTGCTATGCCAAAAGAACAAAATTATTTTTATTTGCTTTCAGAAATCTCCCTCCCTCCCTCCCTCCCTCCCTCCCTCTCCCTCTTGTGTGTAAGTGTAATCTAGTTGGCTGGAAGTGTTCACTTAATACAGCCACGCACAACCGGCCCCCCAACCTTACGCACCTCCCCTGCTTGCAGCCAAAATCCACCTCTGACTTTCCCACCAGCAACCGGGAAGCCCCATTTCCCCCCAAAGCCTTGGAGAACGACCTTCTCTTCAAGGGTGCCCTTCTTCACCCAACGCGTCAACCAAGAGCAAAGCCCGGCAGATGCCTTCACACACCAAGCCGGGTCCTTCAACTTGGTCCGCGTGAACACGCGTTAAAAGGTGACGGACGGCTCGTCCTTTTTGAGGGCGGGCGGGGCGGGGAGCCTTTCAATTCCACACGTGGGGTCCAACTCAACCCAACTCAACTCAACCCAACCCAACCCAACCAGCCTTGGTTTTCGTGCGCCGCGCAAACCCAGAGGCAGGAGGAACCCCCGCGTCCAGGTGCAGGCTGGCGTGGACGTCGCGGCGGCGAGTGCCAGCCTGCGTGCTTCTTTTAAAAGCGGCGCGACCCTCTCCATCCCCGCGGCCCCCCCTCCCCTCCCTATCTTCAGGCGAGCGAGGAAGACGGGAGAGACCGCCGGCTTGCAAAGAGAGAGCTGGTTAAGCCAAAGGGACGTTGCCTTCGGAGCTTAGCGGATATTTCAGCCTCTCCCCCGCCGGTTTGAGGAGACGGCGCCCCACCGCTTCACTCCCCGATTCTCGTCGTTTGCATTGGGGGGTGGGGGGGGGGGAGAACCCCTCGGAGCTGGGCAGAGGGAGACCTCCTCGCTGGAGCGCCGCCAACCCCGAATCACCTCCCCTCCCCAACCAACGATGGTCAACGAACGCTGGAAAAATGTGGGGAGGTCGGCGCAGCTGGAAGACGGACCTCAGGAGAAATCTCAGGTGGGCATCGTCCGGCTTTCTGGGGTGGAGGTGTGGGGGGAGGGGACAGAGGGATCTGGGGAACACGGGGGGGGAGGGAGAGGAAAGAAGGAAGGGAGCAGGAGGGCGCTGAGCCACCAGGAGATGGAGCAGAGTGGGCGCAGCGCCTCGGCTCCAAAGGGGAACCCCCCCTCCCGAGCCGTTTTTCAACATCTGGATGGGTTGCCCTTCAGACAGCCACCTGAAAAGGTGTAAGGCTGTCCGTTGGGGGGGGGAGAGAGGTTAAGAGGGGGTAGAGGAGCCAGTTGGCAGTGACCAGCCTTCTCGACTTGGAAGACCCAAAGCCGAAGAGGCAGCTTGGAAAGGATCAGGCTGGGACCCCCGGAGATGATCCTTTCAAGCAAGGAAGGAGAGCCCACCCCGACCCCTAACCCCCACCCCCTCTCCAAAACTTTTCAGCCTCCCGTTGAAGCCCTCCTGCCATGGGGGGAGGGGGCGGTGGGGAAGAGGAGGGGCAATGAATATACAGTATATATATATATATTTATATATATAACCCCTCAAAATAGGCGCCCCGTTTGACACTGGGAGGTTTGCTCAGCCTTCTGCTGTCCATTGGGGATTTGTGTGTGAGGGGGCGGCAGTTGCGCAGCCCTCGGCATTGTGAAAACAGGTGTGTGTTTGCAAAAGGAAGGCTGCGGAAAGCAGAGGAGAGCACTGAGTAGAGAGGGCCAGTTGGCTCTAGCGCTTAAAGTACCAGGCAAGAAAGCAGGGAGTTCTAGTATTGCCTTATCCATGAAAGCCAGCTGGGTGACTTTGGATCAATCGCTAGGTGATGGTGAGTTCTAGTCCCTCCTTAACCATGAAAG